GTTGATGCGACGGAAACCTTTCGATGACACAGTTGTATAAAACTAATCTTACATGAAAAAAAAACCTTTCTCTCGTCGTCCATACACTATGGATTGCATCAATTGATTCAAGCATTCACAACATCATTCTTTCACAAGAGAAGTATAATCAATACGAATTTTTTACGCCATCGTCTGTAGTCGTCGAAATAGGTATTACGAATACGACCTAAAAGAAGTAATAAATATTTCCTACTAGCAAGCTATTTGGTTCTGCTCGCCAAAACATAACCAAGAGGTTTAGAAACTATCTTCAGCATTCTCGAAGTCAATCATTCAACCAAGAGGTCAGTGTTTTTTTGACTTTTTTTTTGAATATATGTAATTTATTTGATTTTTAGAATAATTGTTTTTCGTAACAACCAATCGAAAATGAATAATCAATTTGCAAAAATCATTCATGTTAAAGTCCGGGAACAAATAGTTCGTTCAACAGATATCAATCAGGTTGATGAGTTTATAAATTATTCTTCATCCAAAGTTGTCGTTGAAAAAAATTTTTTCCTACTATAATAATTGATCGTCACCAGAAAATTTGATCAGACAGTTTTACATCAATGCATGTAAACTATTTTATCCTATCTTTATCCTCAGACTCATTTGGTTATGCTGTACGAGGCTGCTATCATATAACATCGATTCAACCGAAAATTTTTAGTTTTTGTCACTAACAGAAGCCCAAACTTGTGATGTCAAAGGATTGCCATATTATAATTTTCCCATTGACATGAGAAATAAGCTTTATGGTTTCGGTACTGCTTTTTGAAAATAAATGTTTTCATACTAATGCAACGGAAGTCTCCATGAATCAAAAAATGACAGAGATCTCTTGTTATTTTAGTTATTGAAATGAAATCATATAAAATAGTACGTTCTTTGACGATGAGAATGAAACAAGATGAAGGTATCCGAATTGTTACTTTGCTTTTGAATTGATATTTTCGTCATACGTAGGCCACGGTGGAACAAAGATAGTGTTGACACCATCTGTGGTCATGAGCTGTTGTTCAAAAGTTAAAGTCGTTTTAATAAATTTACGATCTAGGCCAATGCATCTATAGGTAAAGTATCATCAAAGTATTTCGATTTGAAATTCCGATCCTGAAAAGATCCAAAGGTTTCTAGCCTGTACCAGAATTTTGTGGCAAAACAGCACCGTCTGTCAAGAAATAGTGGATTTTCTGGGTGGTTCTATTTTTACCGTATGTCTCTTACACAAAGACACTTGAAAGTTGAACACCTCTAGAGAGAAGTATCTACCTTGTCTGATAATGTTGCTGTACACTAAAAAGCATAAGGCTTTTTTATGAATAAAATTTCAGCTCGAAATATCTTCATTTTATTTTCCTGTAGATCACTTACATAGACTGAAAATTTACTATATAGAAGTAGCTTTTGATGAACAAGTCATGGACCCAAATGATTTTAATTCGGTCTTTGTCTGACTGCGCCATACTTATGGATAAAATGTCAGATGAAAAGCAAGGAAACAATTGGGATTCACTGGCAGCAGTCTTCTTTCTTCATACTATATAGACTCTGGTTATCGAAAATGATAAACGATAATAGAAAAAATATCGAAGCACAGGAAGATCAACATACAAATGTTGGATAACATATATCATACTAGACTTATAGCCGACCCAGCAGGTTTGTCAGTCTGTTCTGGTTAAACTTTTCAAATTGATTGGTTTTCATCGATTTTCATACCTTTTCCGATCTATAAATACGAATCTGAAAATCGCTTAACTAATAAATTTCTAGCCGTCGTCAAAATCTCAGTTCTAAACTCAGAACTCATGTTTTGTCGTCGTACAATAAGAACATCAGCTTACACTTACTGCTTTGATTATGATCACAAAAAGCGAGCCAGCCATTCTAAGTTATATTATTTTTAACATACAGATTTTCCATCTGAATATATCGAACTTACTATTCTCGACCAAATGTTAATGGACTGTCAGAAACTCGCGAAAGTTGATAGTTTTTAGTTTGAGTTCGCATTACTATAGTGTTATAAAAGATTCCGTCTTGCTGTGAAATCCATATAATGCTCTTTTATCAATTTCCAGAATGTTTTTCTTTTTTGTGCTCATGAAAATGTAGGAGGTAATCGACATGAAAAAGATATTGTAAGTAATGGAAGTATAGAAAAGGAAAGGGAGGTAATGCATGCAATAGAGATATAAGAGCTGATGAAAGTTATGAAGATAACGAAAAAGCATACTACTAGTAATGTACTATTCTATCCGCTAAAATGAGTACCCATCCACATATTGTTACTGAACTTGCCTGAAAAGGGTGTCCCGCAGCCTTGAGACACTCAATTATGTGCATTCTTAGAGCATTCGACCTGAAGTAAATGTCGTGGAACCTTGGTACACCCATCTATGCATATTCTTAGGGTATCCTGCCCGAAGATGATACTGAGGAACCTTGCGAGACCCATTTCTTCATTGTCTTAGTTCACTCTGGCCAGGCGTGGGTGTCGACGAAAATTGACACACCAATATGCATATACTCTTAGCGTGTCATTTCTAGACACGCTGTCGCGAAATATTCAAATACTCATTTTCGCACATTTTCAGGGCATCGGACTTAGTGTTCATGCTGCAGATGGTAGACTTACCGATCTACGTAAACTTTGAGATGCCTCGGCAGCTTGAGATGCGATGTGTGCATATTCTTAAGATGTCTCACTCGGAGAAGGTTGCGAGGAACCTTAAGAGACCAATCTACGTACATGCTTAGGTCTTCCTGATCTAGTGTGGGGACTACAATATATTGACACAATGATCTGCGTGCATTCTTAGGGCCTCTTGCTCGAGCAGGCTGCAGCGAAATTCTGATTTGTTCGGACATCTCGTTTGGTGTGAGTGCCGCAAAATCTTGCGACATTAATCTGCACAGGTTCTTAGCGAAGCTGGCGTAGGTTCGTTCCGTCAAATCTTGTTGCAGTGATCTTTCTATAAGCTTACTGCATATCGTCTAGGGCTGATGCCGCGGACCCCTAACATACCAAACTGTATAGATTCTCGAGACATCCTGTCTGATGTGGATGTTTCGAAATCTTGAGAAATTTGTCTCCTGACATTCTGATGACATCTTGCCTAGTGTTGTTGACTAGAAAACACGGCACACCAATCTGCACACGTTACCAAGACGTGTCTCCAGGAAACAATGCCACACTAACCATTACCTCTGATATTTTCATTTCATCTGATACTTGAATTACCTCATTCACATCGATTACCTCATTGACTTGTGTAACCCTTATACCACCAATGAATACATTACATTCATTAGGTTCAGCCTCTCTGGAATGTTCCCTGCTAGAAATTTTTATCAATGGGATGGAAATTCATAAAAGTGTTGAATCGTAAAATTTATCTTCACTGCTAGTCTCGTGCCATAGAAACGATACTAATTACGTAGGCATTAAGAGACCTAGAAGTAGCAAGTTCATCGATAGCAGGGCTCGAAACGAGCCACTTATTTGTGGCCCGGCCCGGGCCCAACGCAAAATTTTTTTAAGAAACATTTTATCCAGAATTGATCTTAAAGATCAACATCATGTTTCGAAAGAAAATTTTGTACAGCATACCATAGATTAATTTATGAATTTAATGA